GAAGAGACCACCAGGCTTTTGCTGTTGCTGCTGCTGGGTCTGGCTGTTGCCGAACAAACCACCGCCAGCACCAGTGTTTTGCTGAGGCTGGGTGTTACCAAAGCCTCCGAATGCGCTTCCAGTGGTGTTACCAGTGGATGAGAAGAGACCACCAGGCTTTGGTTGCTGCTGGTTCTGTGTGCCAAACAGCCCCCCACCAGTGCCGCTTTGCTGCTGCTGCGGTTGTGAGCCGAAAAGGCCACCTCCCTGCTGCTGAGGCTGTTGCTGCTGGGTGTTACCAAACAGCCCGCCGGTACCTGTACTGCCGGTAGCACCGCCTAGGAGGCCAGTGCCAGTTGACGGCTGCTGGGTGCTCGCGCCGAAGCCACCACCGCCGAACAGTCCTTTGTTTTGAGTCTGATTCTGGTTCTGTTGGTTTGCGCCACCAAAGCCGCCGAAGGCACTTGTTCCTTGCTGTTGGGTGTTCGCGCCGCCGAAGGGGGATGCAGTAGCAGTCGAAGTTCCGAATGGATTTGCGGCACTGGTAGTTTGGGTATTTCCGAATCCACCGAACCCACCGGTTCCAGTTGCTGCACCACCGAAGGCCGGCTTAGCCTGCTGATTGGTGTTGCCGAAGAGAGAGCTGCCAGTGTTGCCGAAAGCTCCTCCAGTTCCGGTACCAGTGCCAGCATTGGCTCCGAACCCGCCGGTAGTCTGGGTAGAATTGCCGAACATGCCGCCTCCGGAAGTGGCTGCAGGGGTAGCAGTGTTAGAGGTGCCGAACAGCGAGGTTGTTGGCTTAGCTGCTCCGAACAAGGGGTTGGAGTTACTGGCTCCGAATCCTGTGCCGGCGGTTGGGGTTGACCCGAAGGCAGATGGTGCGCTTGTAGCAGCACCGCCGAATGGAGTGGTGCTTGCTCCAAATGCGCCGGTTGTAGTGCTTTGAGGCTGAGCACCAAATCCACTGCCACCGAACGCAGAGTTACCGAAGGCACCAGGTTGTCCACTTCCGTTGCCAAATCGACGTCCCTGCTGATAATCTGCTAGGCGTAATTCCTCGAAAGAGAATTTGCTGTATGGCTGTTGGAAAACGATACTTTGGTAATGGTTCGTCGCGTTCGAAGTGGTATCCTTCTCCGTGTAGGCGTTGAATGGGGAGCCGCCTGTTCCTTCGCAGGCAGCAGTACTGCCCTGGAAAGCAGAGCCGGAGGCGCCAAAGCCTGTAGCTGGGGCAGCAGTGTTGGTCGTCGATCCAAAGCCGCCAGTAGCCCCGCCGAATCCAGTGCCCGTAGCTGAAGCACCAAACCCAGTAGTAGGTTTGGCAGCACCGAAGAGTCCTCCGCCCGTGTTTGTGTTTGCGTTGGCGCCGAAGCCGGTGCCGGTGGCGGATGAGCCGAATCCTGTGCTAGCACCACCGAAGCCAGTGTTGGTAGGAGTGCTTTGAGCACCTCCAAAGATAGATCCACCGGTGGTATTGTTAGAGGCACCAAATCCGGTGGTGGTGCGGTTTTGACCGCCGAAGAGGGAATTAGGTTGAGTTTGGGTATTAGCTCCGAATCCTGAAAGAAAAGAAGAAAGGGTCAGCATATGTCAACAAACGTAAATCCAAACGATGAAAAAGAAAAACAAGAGAACGGAAGTCCTCATGTGATCCAGCGAAAGTCCAGAAGAGTTGCAGTGTGGTCGGCTCCAGTAAAATCCAGGATCACTCATTGGGAAGAAATGAGCGTGGAATCCACATGCGAGACCGGTACAAAACTTCTGAATCGCAAGTCGATGCGATGCGATGAGGGACCTCTCAAACGAATTCGGAAGGAACAGAATCGCAAAGCTCTCGAGGAGCACGTACCTCCGCCGGTGCCGGAAGACGAACCGAATCCAGTAGACGTGTTGGTTGAGCCACCAAAGGCAGGCGTAGTGCTGGCACCAAAGGCGCTAGGGGTGGAGCCAAATCCTAGATGACGGGAGTGATCGTGGTCAGAGGGACTGGGATTCAAGCTGTTTCTAGCTTTCCTTATCTTGTCGGGCTGTCGCTGGGTGTGCCGAATGGCGCGCACCATCTCGCTGTCGGAAGCACGGCGAATCTCATATTGGCCGGGATTGCCATGCGCGCGCGGAGGACCGCCGCGGTACGACATGAGGAGCAACAGTTGTTGTTGAGATAGAGGAAAACCGAGGATGGAAGTACGAGGGGGAACGACAAGAAGAGGTTCGAGAAAGGCAAGAGGGGGGGATATCATGGGCAGAACTAAGAGTATTAAACCTACCTCCACCAGTATTGGCATTGGCCCCGAAGCCTGTGCCTGTGCCAAAGCTGCTGCTTTGGTTGTTCTGACCGAACCCTCCACTTCCAAATCCGAAGGTCGACATTCTGTCGGTTGGAAATTGTGGGTGTTCACGCAGTCATAGGTCGATTTCGAATCTGAGGCGGTTGCGAAGGCGGTCGAGGATGTGGAAGGAGCGCGTGTGATGAAGACTGAGAGGGAGGAGAGGACGCGACAGAAAAGAGTTCTTTGCTGAAAGGCCAGGTTGATTATGTCAGCCCCGGGCCACAATACTCCGTCACGTGAGCCTCAGCTGCCTAAAGCGGCAGTCCAATGAAATGCTTCAATAGAAGATACAATAGGCTTACCACCGATATTCTTATAGGAAAATGACTCATTGATCGTGTGGGCTGTTCTAGATTGTAATTTCTGAGTCAAACTACAACTGATACGAAAATGAGCGGTATGATTAGTATTGTGGTGACAAACACGAGAACTATACAATCCAGTCTCCACCTTTGTTTCCGCCCTACAATACAGTTATGCAGCCATCCACTGTTCCTACCAAGATTGGAACAATGTAAACGCAGATAGCCTATTCCGAAAAGAAATTAGCGTATCACACTCATCTCTCAATAGACTTTAGACCTACCATTTCCTTAACAGTGCTCAATGATCCAATCATTCAACTTTCTGCCGAACAACATCACAATTGGCTTCCGTAACTCAATATGCAGGTCATTGTTTACAATCACAATCCGAACCTACAGACTTGACGCCGACAATGACCTCTTTGCGGCTACAAATGGCCTTTTCATCCGTAACTTTGGATGGTCACTCAACCGTCAAGCTACGTTATATAATAGTAAAGAGCCGGGCCATGACGGTTTTTGTCATACTTTCCCACTAATAATCTGCTATTTACAATAGGAGTAAGCATAAGCTTAAAACATACAGACATATTTTTAGCAGTGTTCAGGTATATACGCCTCTAGACCCGAATATACTTCGTCTACGAAATGGGAGAACGATATCAGTTATCAAATGGGTTCTCAAAAGAAACACTGGTGACCCTCATGTCTTTTTCCTCTTATTCATCAGTATGAGAGGGTTCTCGTCTTCAAGACTCAACTGGTGTTCGCGTCTAGTTGCAGTCGTTTCAAACTCGATCTCATGGAAACGGAGGACTGGCCCCATGTGCTAGGGACAATGGGATCGAAATATTTCATATCTGGTCGCAGACCTCACGTTCTAGAGTAGGATTTCTGGGTTTCGTAGTGGTTGTCGAAGACATCCATTCTATTGGTCGGCGCTAAATATACATGTTGGGGGTCTCGTTGCAATCTCCATCTATATATCATGTCGCAGGTGCGTCTGTATTCCGAAGCAAGTTTAATCATGCAAATAAATATACCAAAACAATCATATTCAACATTTTAGGGGCTAAATCCCCCAGAAAGGATGGATGCTTCCCAACCAATTACCAGACCAATGCACGCAGTTCTTTGGGAAAAAGGATTTTACATGAATAACAACCTCTGAAACCATCCCCGCGAGGGGACATACAGCAACGGGATCCATAGCGAGATCGGCTCCCTAGGTGTGCGATCTGCGGATCTGTAACTCATCAAGTTGAGCAGCAGCAGGGGCGTCACATAATAAAGTTTGGTCCCCTGTTTCGCCGCATGTCTAGTGCATCCTATTGACGATAAAAAAAGAAAGAACCCCGCCTGCCTCACAGCACTTACAGTAGTACATAAACAATGCGTCATAAGTTACCTGCCCAATCTACAGGATACCTTTTCCCCCAGATCTCCTTAAGAAAAATTACACTAGAAACCATCTCATCCCACCTGGTTTCCCATACACACCCCCAATAAGGATGGAGTCTATACCCACGACACAAAACTCTGAGAATCCTCTCTGAAAGCACAGCTAGCATCCCCACCGAAATTATCTCTAGAAATACTCGGAGCGCACACAGAAGGGGAACAAACCGAAGTTGTCGATTTCGACCTGTGGATCGATCGTTCAAACAAAGCAAAAATCAAATCTGGAAAGCTCTCGACAGGCAATGGAAATAATCATCGCTATTGAGACCAGTTTGGTGAATGCAGGGACCAGGTTCTCGATGGTATCATGTAGCCGGCTTCGGGATTGGCTTGGAGATGGTAATAGTAACGATCGAAGAAGGTAAGTTATGGCCTGTAACCTAGCTAAGTGTCTCTTAACTATCCTATACTAACTAATAGACATCAATCTGGACAATACATAACCAAATGCCTCCACAAGATGACGAACTGGCTGCTATCACATAATCGCTTCCATATCACCCCGGTAATGATCTATAGGAAGTGGCTGGAAGCGTAGCCCCAGTGACCCAGTCTAGGGGCTAGCTATAAGCTATACCGTGATGACAGGAACGACTAACCGAGGCAATTCACAACGTGTTCCATTTAATTTATCATCCTACAAAATATCCAAATATCCAAAGCAAGATACTATTCACAACGCTTCGGAGCAGATAAGGGAATCTCAAATACACGACAGCACACATAATACCGGGGCAAAAAAAGAAAAACGCGGAAAAAACCCCACGTTTTCAAGTCAGGGAAGGGGGGCCAAGTCAAAAAGCCGGCTATCAGATCCATGGATTAACAGCTCAATTTATGATGAGAAACCCCATTTTTTTCTTCCAATGTTTCCGCTAGGAAAGTTCTTCCACGTTCATTATCATCAAAATCGTAGACGTACACTTTACTTCTGGCGGGCGGCGTGGACTGTGGCGATAATTGTGTCCACGACACTGGGGTCAGAGAGCTATAGATTTGTCAGTGATTGTCCGATGGAACCATTAAGAAAAATAGTTTTTGCGGGCAAACTTACCGTCGAGGTATCACCGAGACTGTCCTCCTCACCACTGAGAATCTTGCGCAAAATACGGCGCATGATCTTACCGCTGCGGGTCTTGGGGAGGTCTTCCACAACGAAGACGGCCTTGGGGGCAGCGAAGGGTCCAATGGACTTGCGGACTTGCATGGACAGGTCCTTGCGAACCTGGTCATTTGTCTCGTTGCCATCCTTGAGGGCAACGAAGGCGTTGACGGCCTGGCCGGTCAGCTCATCGGCGATACCGACAACTGCAGCCTCGGCAACCATGGCTATTCACAGTTAGCTTGGGCTCGGTGGGTATGTGATTTTGTGGTGTACTTACGGTGCTCGAGGAGGGCAGCCTCAATCTCGGCGGTGGACAGACGATGGCCGGAAACGTTGACAACATCATCGACACGGCCACGGATCCAGTAGTAGCCGTCGTGGTCACGACCAGCACCATCTCCGGTGAACTAGTACCTGTTAGTCTGATTGCTCTGATGGCTGAGTGCAGATACTTACGTAGTAACCCTTGTAGACATTCAGGTAAGTGTCCATGTAACGCTTGTGGGCTCCCCACACAGTGCGGGCCATACTGGGCCACGGCTGCTTGAAGGCAAGGACACCCTCAACATCATTGCCAAGGATCTCCTCTCCGGAGACAGGATCAATAATGGCGGGCTCGATACCGAAGAAGGGCAACGAAGCACTACCGGGCTTGGTGGGGGTGATACCACCAAGAGGAGTGATAACGTTTGAACCGGTCTCGGTTTGCCAGTATGTCTACAGTTACAAAATTAGCCATTATCCAAAGTTTGCAGGGGTAAGAGACGAACGTCGCAAACGTGAGCTTCTTCCTTTCCGACGGCCTCGAAGTACCACTTCCAGACCTCTGCGGCAATGGGCTCTCCGACGGAACCAAGAACACGCAGGCTCTTCATCTTGTGGTGGATGTGCTCACCACCAGCGCGCTTCAGCAGACGCAGGGCAGTAGGGGCAACGTAGAACTGGGTGACATCGTACTTGTCGATGACATCCCAGTAGCGGGAGAAGTTAGGGTACGCGGGGGTACTTTCAAACACCACAGTGGCGCAACCCAAAAGAAGAGGAGCATAAACAACGTAAGTGTGTCCGGTAATCCAACCGACATCACCACCGCAGAAGTAGCGGTCATCGTCGTGGATATCGAACACGTATTTTCCGGTCATCGCGGCACCGAGGAGGTAGCCAGCAGTGGTGTGCATAACACCCTTGGGCTTGCCGGTGGAGCCAGAGGTGTAGAGAAGGAACAGAGGATCCTCGGAGTTGACGGGCTCGGGGGCGAGATAGTTGGGGTACTTCTCGACCTCCTCGTGCCACCAGATATCACGGCCCGGGGTCCAGGGGACCTCGGCGCCAGTGCGCTTGTAGACGAGAACCGTTGTGACGTCAGGGCACTGCTTCATGGCCTCGTCGACGATGCGCTTTGTGCCAATGACCTTACCACCGCGCTTACCCTCGTCAGAGGTGATGACTACCTTGGAGGAAGCGTCGAGGACACGGTCACGGAGAGAGTCTGAGGAGAAACCGGCGAAGACAACGGAGTGCACAGCGCCGATACGCGAACAGGCAAGGAACGCAATGACGGCCTCGGGAATCATGGGGAGGTAGATTCCGACGGTGTCACCCTTCTTGACACCGCGCTCCTTGAGAGTCCACGCGACGCGGGAGACCTCGCGCATGAGCTCACCGTATGTGATCGTGCGGCCCTCATTGGGCTCGTCGGCCTCGTAGATGATGGCCACCTTGTCGGGGTTCTTAAGAGCGTGGCGGTCCACGCAGTTGTAGGAGGCGTTCAGACGACCCTCGACGAACCAGGCGTTGTCGCCATTTTCGAAAGAGCCGTGGTGTGTGGTCTCAAAGTCCCTGTCGAAGGTGAGGAGTTCGCGGGCCATGCGGGCCCAGAAAGTGTCGGGACTCTTAATCGATTCATCGTAGAGCTTTTGGTACTCGGCCATGTCCTTGATGTGGGTTCCGGTAGGGTGCTTCTCGTGGAATGCCTTGGGCACGTGGAAGGTGTCGACCTCGTGGGCCTCGAGCACCTACACCAATTGTTAGCTAATTCTGCGAGCAAAGCTCAGATTGAGATCAATGACACTTACCACGGCAGGCTTGGGCGGCGCAACTGGGCCGTCCGACATGATTGCGATTCTCCGAAGGTGTGTATAAGGAGAACTCTGGTGAGGGTTAAAACTGAAGGAGAGAGTAAGGGAAGAGAAGCTTACGAAGGGGTATAATAAAGTCCAGAAAGAAAAGAGACCGAGAGCGGGGGACGAGCCATTATGTATTTCCCCGGGTGGAGCATTTCCCAATCCGGCATGAGCCGCTTTACAGTAAAATACCACTCTGGCTATTTTACCTGCACTTGCTTACACTCTTGCTTCTGGTCCATTCTACTATTCTACTATTACTATTACCTTTTGCCCTTACTTCCCTTAATACAATACCATATGCAACGTACGCCAAGGCTTGGGTTTGGGTTCGGTCATGCGGGGGTTGACATCCTTCCGTTGCTCCGGGGAAGTGCCCCTCCACGAAAATCATGTCTGCCAATATTGGGTTGTGATCAACCGACCCCTGTCCCCGTATAGAACCCTTTGACCGAACCCCGCCTATGGTTGTCTTCCCGACTTGGAGGTAATACTTGTAGAAGGCAGTGGGCTAGATCAGCCTTTCATGCCGTCTCGAGGGTTGTGCGTACAGGTACATGTCCATCCTCATGGTTAAGTTAACTTAGGTACTTCTTCCTCGGGAGATCCCCCACCTGCACGATTGAGATCTCAATCTCAGATCTAGATGCTCCGGTGTGACATACGAGAGCTATGTCATGAGGTTTATGATGTCAACCTTGAAGCTAAAGCTCAACCTTGGAACTGTATGTTCAACCTGGGGAGGCGGACCGATGCCCAATTGCAGATTAGTTCGGCAACCACTTGATCTCACAATGGAAGTTTATTGATTCTTGGCACTTTACAAGCCTGCAGACAAGCCATGACAAGCTTGTGTATTTAATTCAAGTTCATTTGCACTGTGGGTAAGGTGGTTTGGATTGTGGGGAGTGTGGGACAACGCCTGTCTCGCTAATTTCTTTTTCCCCTTGTTTTTTTCTCGTGTAGATAAATATTGTATACATAAATATAGTCCTGAGATAAACACATTGTACCGCCCAATATATGCTTAAATCCTCTCTCATTCCCCTGAGGTTGTGGTATCCTCCGTTGCATCCGAGTGTCACAATATAAGTTTGACGGCGGGATCTTCGCCCCTCCCCTATTGCAACTGTAACTGCAACGCGAAGATCAGACGGCAAAGAACGCACCGAGCCACTGCACCGCGCATATGCGGCAGAAATAAAAAGGTTGAACTAATGCACATTAGCTCCACCTCTCCCACTTCGTGTCCCAACAAAAAATGCCCATGCAGCCTGACCTAACCGACCTAGGTAGATAATCCAGCCCGGACGACGTGTGTACTGTACAGCCAATACCAGCGGGATGAACCCGAGAACCCCACCATACCAAAATCCGACACCGTTGTGGGACAGCTATGAACCGTTCTTTGAGAAGGTGAGTGGCCGAGAAAAGACCGCGTTAAGTCCAGGGTAAGTCCAGGGAGAAGAGGGTGACGAGGGAGTGCGACACCGGATAAATGATAGTCCGGTTCCGTCCAATGAAATATGGGCATATCTCAGCATCCTTGCCCTGATTTTGGACTGGACAGATTCAGCATGGATCGCGGATCTTCGGAGGATCTGGAATATCGAAATCGGAGGTCGTCGCAATGCCGGCTTGGCATGGGTAACATTCCGTCAATTGGCCGATTGCGCTCGACCTTCTCGGCTTCGACCCGTGAAATATGTGAAGCAAGACGATGGCCGTCGATTAGCATGTAGAGAGCTGGCATTGGATAGAGTCAAACATCCATCATCCATGGGATCTGTGAAGAAACATCTCGAAGTAGATGGCCTTGCACGGTCTGTCAGACGACGGCCTTTCTGGCGATAATAGGTTAACCGCGAAGAAAGCACGGGTTCAATCTTCCAGGAGATGCAAGTCAAGATCAGGCGTAGACTGTGGTATTAGCTGTGGTTATCCATTTCCCCTGGGGAAATCTCCCCGTGTTCCCAGATTGTTCAATCTCTCCAATTGAGCATCCAAACCAAGGCAGAGATGACGGATGAAGGGAGTCTGAAGCCGCGGGTAGAAGCACACACAGCCTTCATCTCCCTCGGTTCGAAATCAAAGCTTCGTCCGGCGACATTGAAGGGAATGACGTTCGAACCGATAAAAACCTTGGGACATCGGTTAGGGCTCGGAAAGGGCAACTCCAGGGTTCGGACGAGCGGGGCGGGTGCTTGACCCTCGGAGAGGAAACATAGTGAATTACCTACATATAGGTAGGTGTTTTCCTGTCTTGTCTATTTATCCTGTTGAGCGGCTCGAGTTTGTAAGCCCGTAACCTGATTCGGCCCGAGTGGTTCCTTGGAGGCTGTGAGAAGATCGACCAATCCCATGAAGGGTCTCGGGGTTTGCTATCCCATGAATGGTCTCGGGGTTTGTAAACCCATCACCTGATCCGGTTTAGGTGTTTCCTTGAGCCTGTGAGAAGGAAGGGCCAACCTATCCCACGAAGCGACTTGGATTTGTAAGCTCCATGACCTGATTCGGCCCAAGTGGTTCTTTAATGTTTTAAGAAGGCGTGGGGTGTTATCAGTCGTAGTAGTCAGCTATCTATATTCACCACTAATGATAATGAAGACATACATAATTAGGCCAGTAATCTATCCTATTCAATCCCGATGTCAAAAATGGTCGTCAGCGACGAAGTGGAAATTTCCAGCAGAGTGGTAACTTCGAGCCCCTTATCGGATAGCGTCGATCTATCGGATGAGAACAGCTACCCAGAAGGAGGTCTCAAGGCCTGGTCTGTTGTTCTTGGAGCATGGTGTGCAATGGTCCCTTCGATGGGATTATTGAATAGTTTGGGGGTTCTACAAGCGTGGACGAGCACGCATCAGTTGAAGGACTATTCGGAGTCGAGTATTGGTTGGATTTACGGTTCTTATGCATTCTTTCTATACATTGCCGGAGCGCAGATGGGTTTGTCAACACTTCATATCTCTGTCTGTGCAATGAGTCTTACAATATACAGGTCCGATCTTCGATACATATGGCTCCAAGTTTGTGATCATCCCAGGTTCTATCGGGATGGTGGTTTCCATGGTATGTTTCAGTTTCAGCGAAGGTACGTTCAGATCGAAACACACGATCCAATAAGTTACAAGCACCTAACATAATCACAGAATACTACCAAATCTTCCTCTCCTTCAGCGTCCTCGGCGGCCTATCAGCCTGCACACTCTTCACCCCAGCAATATCAACAGTCGGCCATTGGTTCAACCTCCGCCGCGCCTGGGCAACAGGTGTAGCATGTACAGCTGGTGGAATTGGCGGAGTGATATTCCCCCTAATAATCCTCTACGCGGCACCCAAGATCGGTTTCCCATGGGCAATCCGGATCATCGCACTGCTCTCTGCGATACTATGTGCATGCGCATGTCTATTGCTTAAGACACGGCTACCGCCAAACAAGAAAGCCGGAGCATCGGTTGATTTCCGCGCGCTGAGGGATGTCAAATATGCTTCTACGACTGCAGCTGTTTTCTTGGTCGAATTCGCGGTTTTCATACCCATTACCTATATTGCATCATATGCAGTCTCCGTCGGTGTAGATGATACAATGTCCTACCTGCTAATACCATTTCTGAATGCTGGTGCTATACCGGGTCGATTCCTGCCAGGCTTGGTAGCTGATAGAGTTGGTCGTTTCAACGTGATGGCGTTGACATCGTTGCTGTGTTCGATATTGACGCTGGCTTTGTGGATGAAGGCTGGTGATGATTTGACGGCGATTATTTGTTATGCTGTTTTCTTTGGGTTTTGGAGTGGTGCTGCCATAAGTCTCACGCCGGTTTGTATTTCTCAAGTTTGTGCGACTGATGATTATGGGAAGCGGACTGGGACGACGTTTACTATTAGTAGTATTGGGACTCTTGTTGGGATTCCGATCGCTGGGGCGATTTTGGAGCGTGATAGTGGAGGGTATGGGGGTTTGATTGTCTTTGGTGGTGTGCTTTATTTGGCGGCTACGGTTGCGTTTGTTGTTGCTCGGGGGATTTGTGCTGGATGGACTTTGGATGTCAGATTTTAGAGGACATAGAATAAGAGGGAAGATAAAAAACATGATAAAAGGGGTTATACGGGCATGGCGGCTTTAAGCACTGTCACCATCAATGCAAGTGTTCATGTGGACAGAACTTGCTCTCGGACAACTCTCGTGCGACACAGCCTCCACAATGATTTAATTAGGTAATATGATCTAGCTCAGTACGACATAGCTACGCACGAAAATGCACATTTAGGCAATTTGGCGCTATAGGAATGCAGCCACACACAGCTAGACGGTCAACCACGGAGCTCGACTTAAATCGGTGAAGAGAGCTCGAATCCGAATGCCCAGGAAACAAGCTCCATCCAGCTTTGAACATGTAGGTCGAGGTATATTCGAACATCCATCATGACCAGATGGTATGTGACCTACCTTGGATTATGTGGTAGTCGAAGGACTTCGCCGTCCGCCGATATTCTCCGCCGGGAATCTATACGACATGTCGCGTCAACATGCAGATCAAATATGACATCCCGCGTCGATCTTGAGGGATTGAACATAAAAAGGTGAAGTTTCCCCAGGTTTTCACGTGTTGAGAATCTCAAGAAAACATCCAAGGGTCTCTCTGTTTCGTGTCAGTTATACGGTTCAAACCAATCTCAAGCGAATCAGATCCGAACATAAAAGGTTCAAATACGAATCGTGACGATGTCAGGCAAAGAAATTAGCAAGAACATCAAGACAAAGGTCCTATCCATCTTGTCTACCGACATTGATTCTAGATCGAGAACATCCAATCGATCGAGAACATATCCGTAAGGTGTTCTATGTTAAGTGACGTCATTTCCTCTGACCTAGTCGCAGTCACTCCAGAATGACTTGTTATACTGCTCCTGCTCCTTATAACGGTATACTCTAACCTTGTGTTGCCTTGTTAGGAGATGTTAACTGCTACCAGGAGATCAATGTTTTGGTTCTTGCTGCCGGGGTAAAGGGTACGCTCGGTAGGGATTTTTCGGATAACTTAGCTTCTTTTGCTTTTTCCTTTTTTATTATTATTATCAGATATATCCAGGGCAAAATATACCCTGTGAAATACATCCTTAAAAACTTTTTTGGGGTGTATAGTTTGCTTCGTACCTACACACACTCGCTGGTCATACCGTCCACAGCACTCCTGGCATGCTGTGAACGACGCATTTTTTTTACATGACAAGGTCCGGCTTTTCCTACTCTATAGGTTCATTTTACCCATATCAAGCATCTTCCCAAATGCGAAGTGTGTAGTTATGCGAGGCAAATTCTCTTGGCTGAAAGAAATTTAGGGTTTGTAGATGTTGCGGGAAGGCGCCGTTTCCCGCCATGAGCCGCCAACCGGGCTTCGGCCGTAGTCCACACCATACTTTGACTGATAATTTCAAACATTTCGTTTACCAGTCGATTAATCTTGCCTTGTATCGATATCCACAGCTGTTCGAGGAAGGCGCTGCCAGACCCATAGATTGGTCCACTTGGGCATCCCTTGATACACTGCCATTACTGACCCGGCTCTTGTACGGAGCATCTCTATATAAGCGCTGCACCTGCTGAGCCTGGCATCTTTGATTATCATTCTGTAGAGCAGGCGTATTATCCTCTGCAGAATGTACAGCACAAACGGCGCAACACGCGCCCTGTACTCCAACACACGGCGATTTTCAACTGCGACCCGACTCCTAGCATCCTCAGGCCTCAAGATAAACCCCGAGAGACTATGGAATACATTACACGAGACTTGCAAATGGGGCGCTACCCATCGCTATGGCGAGTATGTATCGGTATCCCTTCTTTGAACAAAGACTGTCGACCTAACGCGCCAGCAGCGGCCCAACTGACACAGGTATGGCTCGTCTAACCCTCACCGACGACGATGCCAGTGTGCGCAAGTGGTTTGCCACTGAAGTTCAGAAGCTGGGTTGCACTCTCTCCGTGGATCAGATGGGCAACATGTTCGCGCGCCAGTCAGGTCGACTGAGCTCCCCTGTTCCAATGATCGCAATGGGAAGCCATTTGGATACCCAGCCTCGCGGTGGTCGATATGATGGTATTCTTGGTATTATGGCTGCGCTGGAAGTTTTGCGAACCATGAAAGAGAGCAAATTCCAGACCAATTATGATGTCGGCGTCGTTAACTGGACCAAGTACGTACTTAGCTCACCTTAGGATGCTGGGGCTCTATTCGCTAACTAAAGTTTGCAGTGAGGAGGGAGCTCGCTTCCCTATGTCCATGTGCTCCTCAGGTGTCTGGGCTGGAGCCATCCCTATCCAGAAAGCTTGGGATCTACGTGATATCCACGATCCCGACGTCACTCTTCGCTCCGAGCTTGAAAGACATGGATATCTCGGTGACATCTCTTGCTCTAGCGATCCGGCCACCGGGTACCCACTCGGAGCCCATTTCGAATTGCATATTGAACAGGGACCGATCCTGCCAGAGACTGGCCGGTCAATCGGTGTTGTTCGCGGAGCTCAAGGATACAGATGGTTGACCATGACGGTGCACGGAAAGGATGCGCACACTGGAACGACGCCTTTCAGTGCCCGTCAAGACCCATTGCTCGCATCCTCCAGGATGATTGCCGCTTCCCACGATATCGCCAAGAAGCACGATGCGTTGGCGTCTACTGGCATTATCAGAGTCCCTTCCAACGCATCCACAAACACTGTCTCATCGCAAGTGACTTTCACACTTGACATCCGTCACCCGCAGGATAGTGTGGTGCACGCTGTGCAGGATGAATGTCTCAGGGCTTTCGACGCTATTGCAGCCCAGGATGGAAAGGGCGTTTGGTTCGACTGGACATTAGACACTGACTCTCCGGCTGTGGAGTTCGACCACAACTGTGTGGCGTCTATCCAGGCTGCCGCAAACCAGCTCGTTGGCCGAGAGAAGTCCATGCTCATGACCAGTGGTGCAGGTCACGACACTGTCTACACTAGCAAGCACTGTCCCTCGGCAATGATCTTTGTCCCCTGCAAGGATGGAGTCAGTCACCACCCAACTGAATATTGCAGCCCGCAAGACTGGTAGGTCTTCACACTTCTTCGACTGGCATACAGAGACTAACTTTCGCAGTGCTCTCGGAACACAGGCACTTCTGGAAGCTGTTGTGCATTACGATCAATGCCGGGCAGAGAGCGAAGGACAAATATAGTTGGTAGTGTTCTTTCGGCTTTGAAGATGTCAATTAGATTACTATGCGTGTGTGGAGTATCTTTCTTTATTGCTTCAGACCTCTGGGAATCCAATCACAGTCGATCAACCCTGAACAAGAGAAGCATTTAGCCCAGCCCAATTCGCGCATAGCCGCTGTGTTCCCCAAATTGCTGGTCGAGCAATGTGGGTAGTACCGAAGACCACCGACATCCTTCACCGCGAGGTTCTGCCAGTATAAGCCGAGCTTCCTAGCTTTCTCACATGCTTCTTCATCTCGTTCTTCATTGCCTGCAAGACTTCGGTCAGAATTCATACGGTATTTTTGCCCGTCGAGAGGCAGCTTCATCACCTGGATGTCGGAGTCCGAATATTGCATTCGATAAAGGAGTGCAAAGTTTGTGCTTATTCAACATCGCGACCTGCTCGGGATGATTAATAAACCTTTCTATTGCCACTGCTTTATGGAATATCTCTTCAGCTGCCTCCTACAATATTCTTGGCTACGACGGTATCTTTTACAAAAGCCATTGCAGATTCATCGAGACATGGTCAACACGAAAGGGTCTCGGCAAAGAGGACGTCCTCGGACAGACACGGATGAAGAGAAACGACAAGATGTGAGTAGAATTGCATGATAGATAGAATACACGCAATGCTTATTTTATTTAGCGGCGCCGCGAGCAGCTGCGTTCGGCACAGCAAATGTATCGCAAGCGGAAAGAGAACACCATCAATACACTGCAAAGTCGCGTGCACGAGCTAGAAGACGAAATTGACCAGATCAGCCACTCGTTTTTGGCTTTCAGCAGTCTGCTCTTGGAAACGGATGCCCCGAAGCGAGATCCACGTGTTACTCTGACCCTCCGAGAACTAGCTCAACAATGCCTGGCCCTTGCCAAGACGGGATGTAACGATATTGAGGAGATAGATCACCTCAGGGCTGCTGCTCTCACCGAAAGCAATGTGGAAAGGAATTCAGTACAAAGTGACAGCCATTCGGACACCCTAGAAAGTGTTATAAACACCGTCAGACGATATCAGAGCCCAATGGAACAGTACAAAACACTATTACCAGATACACAACAATCGTCATCGCAATCTCCATCGGCTTTATCATTCAGTACAGCTATCGCACCGTCCACTTTCCATTCGTCCGCTCCATTCTCCTATATATCATACCCTCTGTCAAATTCCTTGCTCACTAGCACAAGGAACAAAGGGTGCAGAGATTTTTCACAATTCCTGATTAAAGTGTGCTGTCAATCTGGGTACCAACTCCTTGTCAACTCTCCAGACGACATGAAAATTCAAGAAATCTTTGGGACTTTCCTTTCTCCAATGGAGCGAGATACCTTCATTTCACATTTTTGTAGCGGACTTCAAGATCATAGCGGAGATCTGGTTGATCAAATGGCTACCGTTTTCTCCCCGCTACCGTCGAGAAGAAGCAACTATACTTCCGTGCCGCTCTCAAAGTTCTATATGGCGTCGAAATCGACGGCTATGCCTGAGCTGGATGATTTAATGGACGCAAGAGATGTGCAGGGTATGCTCTTTGAGAGGGGATTTCGTTTCAAAGAAACAGGGCCCCGGCCCTCTAGCTCAAGCCTTAATTCGACATTTGACGTGGCCACTTTTGCCGAATGTGAGTTGCTCATTGCTTGAAAATAGTGGAAATTCAACTGACGGAAAATCAAAGTACTCGCCATTCAATGTATCTGTTTTGGATATGGCCCTGTATTCCGAAGGCGGAACGTTGAGACTTCATTGCGCCTCACAGCGTCTGATAATTCCAGTGCTTTCAATACTGTCCTGCCTGATCCGAGGGTAATTGACTCCAGTCATGAGCTTTGGCAGATCCATTTGGCCTAGGAGGAGAGTGTGCAGGCTCGGTCAGAAATGAAATGAGCCTGGGTCAGCTTTGTGCAAGATGACCAGACCATGTTCGAGGACAATACCATGTTGAAGCTTCAGAAGTGCAAATTTTAGTGACTCCGGCGGAATGGTTTCACTGCCCGTCTGTAATTGCGGAAAATAGCGCTTCGCATAATTGCCCTGAAGGACTGAACCAAATTGTAATCCAGCATGATCCCCCTTCCCCCCAAAAATAGCAATCCTACAGCAAATATAAATATCCGTGTATGTACAATGATGTCCCACTTCCTGAAACGGATCCTCGTTAAGACCTATCGTAGCCTAGCTGACGTTCACCTATCAGGCTGCCCTCATGGCGCGCGACATTGAAATCGTTGTGACGCTTCAGCAAAGTCTAGCACGGTGTTGAGCAACAGGCTGGGAAGAGGCAGTCTAGATTTTTCCTACATAAGTGAATCGCTACTCGTGGCAGCGCAAAATAATAGGTACAATGTGCGAATTATGCATTGTTGATCGCACCACTAACATAAACCTCTATGATAATCAAGAGATGGAGTGAGGCGTCTTAAGTCATTCTATGCTGAGCTCTTTTACTTTCGTAATTTTCGCCAAGAGTAATTGCTCGTACTGCTTTTTCGCTATCTTAAACGCGTCCTAGTCTGCCAACAACCCTGCATCCATTCACCTTCCTAGACACGAAGAAGCCCCTTCTATTAGATTGGTTGGGCAGCAAATAGATTGCTGCCAGATAGTTCCAGCCCTTACGAGCTAAAGACCTTGGACCAGTCCTGCTTTTTGAAGTAGTCCGCCACGCTATCAAGCTTGGGTGCGTGTTCCAACTATACAAGTTAGTGTAAAGAACCTCTCACAACAACGCATGACACTCACGTCCTTAGGATTTATGATGGTTGGATCTCCTCCGTAATATCCAAACTCCTTCCAATACCCCCAGTTGTCATCAAGTTCCTGCTGTAGCTCAGGGGGGAAAGGAACGACTGACTCCCCCTTAGGTAGCACGACGGGTTCAGCTTTTATACCTGTCACTTGCGAGAAGGTTTCAATAAGGCCGCGCAGCGAAATCCGGGCTCTATAACCGATGACCTTCTTTGGAGCTGAATCAAGCACTATGGCTTTGACAATGGGTCCGGTGTCTTCTTCCGCGGCGATAAAAGGTAGCTCCACGTCTGGGTCAAGGCCCCCGATAAACTGGGCCACTCCGTCCGCATTCTGGGAAGAATAAGTCAATATTTATAAAGAGGAGGGAGGCCGACAAGGTACCTTTCTTGGAAGAGTAATAGGATTGGAGACAAAGTTGTTCAAGAAGTACCCAGCCTGGAAGATACTTGTTTTGGCCCACAACTCAGGATGGTTCTCGCTGCCGTAAGCCTCGGCCTTAGCCTTGGAATCAAAGTGATAGACATGCGGGTATTTCCCATTGGACCACTTGGCTGCATTGGAGAGAGAGGATAGCACAAAACGTTCCAGGGTGTGGACTTTTGCCGCAGCGTCAATGACACCCTCCAATTGCTCGGTTTCGTGGTTAGCAGCCCAGACATTGAGAGGCTGAGCTGCTGCTGCTGCCTTGGCTTGACTGGCGGGATCGCCAAACAAACCCCAGAAATCGCTAACCGCGAAGATAACATGGGCGCCCTTAAAGGCCGGGATAAATGAGGAAGGATGATCTAGATCAGCTTTGACCACTTCTGCACCGCGAGTAGCCAATGCTTGGGCCTTTGAGCTCGAAGGGTTTCTGGTAATCGCGCGCACCCGCCAGCCGGGTTCCTGCAGGAACGCTTCTACAACAGAGCCGCCCTGGTTACCGGTGGCGCCAAGAATAACAATTAGCTTCTTGGAAGCCATGACAAAGGTATGTTAGAATAACTGGAGTAACTGACGATCGTGAAGAGTCAGAGTAACGGACCATATGTTGGATTGCCTCCGTTTTATAGTCAACGGCTCTACGAGGATCGTTGGTTTGGATTGCTGAATAAAATATTCAGCTGCTTAGAATTCTAGAAATTCCTTGAAAGTCTCCGAGGATCGGTCCAACTGAACCACCCGAACCGTCCAAAAGACATGTCAACCTTCAAATAGTGACCAAAAAACCTAATATATTGGCTCCAAGCATTCTTGCGAGGACCCACAGATCTCTGCGGCGCAAATCATATAATCACGTTGTCTAAATATTTAACTAGTTAAGTTAACTTTGGCTTGAATAGTAATCAGTCCGACATTTCCAAGTACACAGGACCAGGACCCACTCGAATACTAATCACATATGGCCTCTCTTGAATCAAACGTCTAGGAAACGGTCCCAACCCATACTCGACATCTAATAGGCCCCAGTGGACCCATTGTTGAAGAGTGGCGACTCACTGGGGTCCTCTGGAGTTCGAGGGGAGGGATGTGAAGCCGATTTATGCTGTTCATAATAACAAAGACCCGATTTGAGATCCGATATTATGTTTACTGATACATACCGACAGATAATGAGCCGATCGGGATGATTATTAAACAGACTTCTTCGTAACATTTTGCTCGTAGAGTAGTATCATTCTTCTATCGTCGAGGTAGGCACAAAGATTGTCGTCTTTCTAACAAGGGTGCTAATGTTGGGCAACCTACCTGGCCCAGAAGGGCGATCGCTTCCCGGGTCGATAGAACTTCCTTTGGAGCTTGTTAGGCTCGTTAAGGAGCATTAAGGCGCTGTGGCGAGACGGAAGTTTAGGCTTCTAGCGCCTCTTGGCTACCATTTATATTTATTGGAATTGTGGCGGAGCACTGGCAGTATCCTAGGATCGAGTGTTCACAGATCACCCTCTAATACAGTACGTTGTCTACACAAGGACCTGCTTTGGCCGTTCACGGCACTCTTTACGTAAGGATATAATATCGAAGTTGAACAAGATACTTATTGACAAGGAGCTATTGGGACAACATTATTGGCCAGAAAATACGATAGGGCAAGTATATTTGATACCATACTATAATATAGAGGTGAATTCTAGTCAGCACCTTATCACTTTTCAATCCCAATGTCTCCTCGAACATATAAACTTAGGTGTCTTCGGGAAGGATAATAGAGGATTCAAAGTAAAAGCGTCTATTACACGGTAAAGCTACATTAGGAGACGTCCCTATATAGTGGCTTCTAGGAAATTAATTTCCTTATGTAAAGACATTAGACCAATCCTACTTTCTAAAGTACTCTACCACACTATCCAGCTATAGGGACGAGTCAAACTAGGTTGAAGTATCAGCAATGTGAAATTCAAAAACCAAGAATACCGCCAACGAACTCACCTCTTTAGGGTAGATGATTAAGGGGTCATCTCGGCCCTCGTATCCAAACTCGTTGCAATAAGCTCAATTGTCGTCCAATTCAAGTTAGAGTTCACTCGGGAAGGGGCCTTTCGATTGCCCTTTTAGCAAAAGAATGCATTCTATTTCTACCCTAGTAGCTTGAGAAAATGCCTTCGAAACTTCGCGCAAGGAGCTCCATTCCCGATAGCCGATGATATTCTTCCCAGCGCCCTCTTGCACAAAGGCGTCGACAATTGGACCAGTATCTTCTTCCGCGGAAATGAAAGGCAGTTTAACGTCTGGATCTAGATTGCCAACAAATTGGGCTATACCATGCGCTGTCTAGAGAGATTCAGACATGATCCGGCGGATTGGACAGTCTCGATCTAAAAATTCAAAGAACTTGTACAACAACTTTGGTATCTGACATTCACGACAGCAGTTTTACTGCATATTGGTACAAAATTTACCGATAAATCGAACGAAAAATACAAATCACAGAGTTAATGTTACCAGAAGGCGCCCATATTCGCCGGTAAAAGTGTAGATTTTGATTCCCCACTAGACCCATGTCGTCAGAAGGCGCGACGTCCCCGGGACACCTCCGAACGGGGAGACAAACTACAGGAATGCTGAAAACCATAAAATAAATAAGCACAGGAACCCCTGTCCTGCAAATCACAACACTCACACGTAAACCCTCAAAATGTCATCTCGTCGACCAATCTACTACAACCCCGCAGCCGCAAACGAGCGCATCAACTCCCCACGAATTGAAGGCCTGAAGTCCTTTCACCAATCCTTCCCAAACTACGCACCAACACCACTAGTCCAACTCCCAGAACTAGCAGTTGAGCTCGGCGTTAGCCATGTCCTCGTCAAAGACGAGAGTAACCGCTTCGGACTACCATCTTTCAAAGTCCTAGGCGCATCATGGGGATGTTTCCGCGCTATTGCGGCCAAGCTGGGCTGTCCTGCTACTATCTCGCTCGAGGGCCTTTCAACTCGAGCTAAGGCAGAGTCGATTGTCTTGACGACCGCCACTATGGGAAACCACGGCCGTGCAGTCGCGTTTATGGCCCGGCTTCTTGGGATTGAGGCTCGGATCTTTGTCCCTGAGTGTATGGACCAGGATACTCGGGACCTCATTGCTGGAGAGGGGGCGAGAATTGTTGTTGTGAAAGGGGATTATGACAAGGCTGTTCAAGGCGCTTTGGATGAATCGCGTCTGAAGGAAGGTGTCCTTCTTATCCAGGACACTGCCTTTGAAGGGTATGAGAATGTGCCTGCTTGGATCGTGGAGGGGTATTCGACTATGTTGAATGAGGTTCAGGATGGTCTTGCTGAGCTCGGTCTTACTGGTAGTGTGATGATTAGTCCTGCTGGTGTGGGAAGTCTTGCGCATGCCGTGGCTAAACATTGCAAATCGCAGAGTACGCCGTTGTCCATGGTTGCTGTGGAACCTGACACCGCTGCTTGTTTGTCTGCTAGCTTGACTGCTGGTAAGATGGTTACTACCCAGAGCTCGGAGACTATCATGGATGGTATGGATTGTGGCACTGTTTCTTCTACTGCTTGGCCGGACCTGCAGCGACTGGTTGATGCGTGCATCAGTGTCTCTTCCTATGAAGCACACTGCGCCGTGCAGTATCTGACATCTAATTCTGTGGCTGCTGGTCCTTGTGGAGGTGCTTCATTGGCTGCACTTCGCCATCTGGCCAAGGAGAGATCTTCGCTTTTAAACAAAGACTCTGTCGTGGTCCTTCTCAGCACCGAAGGCCCGCGTAAATATTCCACTCCGAAAGATGTTTCTATCGAGGACGCTGTGGGATTGACCCAAACGCTCACCCAGATCAACTCCTCCAACCCAACACTGTCTGTCACGGATGGAGTAGGCGAAACTGAAATCGCAAACTGGCTTGCCTCCTGGTTTGCACACCGTGATATTGAATACTACTGGATCGAAAAGGTCAAAGGACGGCCATCCATTGTTGGTGTCCTGCGCGGTAGTGGAGGAGGCAAATCTCTCATGTTCAACGGCCACACAGACACAGTCAGCTTGTCTAGCTACGAGGCGGACCCCCTATCAGGCTCTATCCAAAACAA